CCTGGCTCCTGGTTTTGGATCAGCTCAGCTTTGGCCATTGTGGCCACTCAAAGAGTAAACCAGCAGACAGAGATCTTTCCCTCTGTCTTTCCTCTCTAAATCTGCCTTTCCAGTGGAAAAAAAATGAAAACAACAATACACAACAATGAGTTAATGCAAATTTTTTCAGTTGTGAAGAGACGAGGAGATAGGTATCAATGAGCAGATCAGCATGTTATGTTTGAAGAGAAAGTGGAAAGAGGCTGTAAGAGCACCCTGTGCCTGTGTAGGTCTTCACTTCTCTGAACTGTGGGCACGCCCCTCATTCAGGGCCCACCTGGATAGTGTGGGATGATTACACCTCATGTTTATTAGAGTCGTTACACTCGCAACGACACTTTCCCCAAACAATGCCATTGTCACAGCACCCAGGGATTTGGAAAAGCTCCTATGTATTTGGGAGACAGGAAGACCAATAAAAACAAATCCATTTTATAGTAGTAATAAAAAGAAATCATGGCCAATTTCTCAATTAGAGTCACAAATATTTTGAATTCTGTTTGATAAATCACCCTAAATTTGCATTTTTGGAATTTTTTCTTCTCTTGAAACACATTTTAATACATATTTGAATAGAATGGTTCTGTTCCCAGGAGATGAAAGTGCACAGAGGACACAAATATGAAACATGCAATGGTAAGATGATGTAAGGTGAGCAAAGAGACCATAGTAGTTAAAGATTATTGTTCCTCAGAGCAAACAGCACATGCAAAGGTCTACAGGCAAAGGAGGTTAAGTTGAGGATAAAGCAGAGAGGGAAGATTACGCCAATAAACTTACTGACTTTAGCAGATAAGCCATCAAACACACAAGCTAATATGAGTGTAGGAAATATCCAAATTACTTGACATGAACTCACACCAGTTCTCTGTAGGAAATTTCCATTTGCCAGAGTATCCTATTGTAGTTCTGCCTCTCCAGAAGCAGAGCATTCCAGAAGGCTGCCAGCTTGTTGTTCACAGGCAGAGCTCACAGTGCAGACTATTCCGCTGTCTCAATCTTTCATGCAGTTGGTGGTGACACCAAAATGAGTTTATTCACAAGACCGGTCCTAGTGGACTGTAGAGCAATAAAGTCTATTCAAAATGGTTTTCTTAAACTTCTATTGCTGACCTTGAGAAGTAACTCATCAATCTGGTGTTTCCACAAAATATTGACTCACTGCTTCCTTTTTATTACTATGGGTAACCCCGTGATCCCTGAAACTATGGGCGTGGTTTTTCCCTTATTGGACTCTACCCTTATTAGTGGGAAGGAGTTATTCAAATGAATAAATAGCTGATTGACACATCAGACTTGACTGGGCTGTGGAACTTGGAGGGCGACAGGCATTAGCAGTGTAAGTACTGATCTCATAAATCTCTCCATGTTGTGTTCTGCTCTTTAAAGTGTGCTCTTACAAGTAAAAGTTTGTTTGTGCACACTTCATACCTTCTTACTGTGCTTAGATAATAATTCTAGGGTCAGTATCTCTTGAATACACCTTTATAAAAATGTAGTATGAAGAATTAGGAAAGCTAGGGTGTGAGATTATGATGGCCAAAGGAAAATTGGCAGCATGAAGAGAAAGCTCTTAGATTTTCTGACACCTGAGTAAATGGTTGAAGGCATGCTTCTAAGTCATCTGGGTCTCTTCCTTCACTTATTTGCAGAAACACCTGTGTGTTCTTCCCTTGCTTTCCTTTCTTTTCTCTTTTTCTCTATTTCCCTCCCACTGTCTTCCACACACACACATATTCTTATGCCTGTCTCCTTTCCCAACATTTGTGTTAAATCTCATTCTCTCCAATATAGTACAGAATTGTTATCAATTATAACAGTACCTAGTCAGGTATGTGTGAGTCCACACTGACCGTTTCCTTTCTGGTTCTAAGCTTTCTTGTTGTTCTCTGACTATCTATTCTCTTTTGTTTGGAAGGGGGAGCCTCTGGAGCGATCCTGATGGTCACTGCAAGAGAGGGTGGGGATCCAAAGTTGGAACTAAGTAAGGACCAGAGAAGGCTCCTCTCCCTAGTCCTGAAGGAAGCTTACTGTTCCTCTGTTTCTGTGGACTGCTCAGGGCTCCTGGATGTTGTTCCGATGTCCTTGGATCCTGCTTGGAAGGATTTGGGCTTCTTCCATCCCATGTGGTAGATCCAAATAGGTGTGGATGACCTCAGAGTTCTCAGCCTCCGAAGACACTCCAATTCCCCGTGGTCTCCTTGGCAGTTGGGATGTAGTCCTTGGTGAGGATCTGGGAGTCTCCAGGGTTGGGATACAAGCCTCCTCCTGTCTACCTGCTCCACTCTGGGGTCCCCCCCGCCCGGCTCTGTGCATATGACCTCCTGTTAAGAGGTTGTCAGGATTACCTTTGATCCCCCCGTATGTCTTTGTAGTTTCACTATTGTCTAATGCTGATTGGAGTCTTGTGTGTAAGTTACCTATTATGTTCCTGGTATGTTATACTTCACATCTTCCTCACACATTCTAAGGAGATGGAAGATTTCTCTGCTCTCCCGCCTCATTTCCGAGTAGCATAGGGTCTTAAAGAAGCCACTGAACTTATCTGGACAATAAGATGCTGGACTTTATGCTAGGTATATGCTTGCAATGAAGGAATCTCAACTGAACTTGAACTGTGGTTATGCAGCAAGGTGGAGGAATCCACTATGGGGGGAGGGTTGTGGGAGGGGTGGGGGGAATCCCAGTGCCTATAAAACTGTATCACATAATACAATGTTAATAACAATTAAAACAAACAAATAAAACTTAAAAAAACGTATATTAGGTTTTATAATTCTTTGATGTAGATCATATACAGTCTGACTCACGTTGATTTTTGGTTCATTGGTTACATCACAATATCTTATTGCATGAGATACAGGCTGTTGGGATTGAAATAATATTACAGTCTACAGGTGTTGTGTTTCGGATTGACATCATTTCATCTTAAATTAAGGCAAATATATGGTATCTAACCTTTGGGCTTGGCTCATTTCCCTTAGCATAATGGTTTCCAGCATTTTTTTTAATAGCTGAGTAGTATTCCATGGAATAAATAAACTATAGCTTTCCTATCTAGTCTTCTTTTGATGGGTATTTCGGTTGCTTGCAAGTTTTTGCAATTATTGATTATGCTGCTATGATCATAGGGGTGTAGGACACAAAGATTAGTTACTCCTCACTCAGTTATTGAAGGTTTCCCTGCACACCCCTCCTAAAACTGTTCTTCACCTCAACTGTTGACATATGCCTTGTTAGTGTTATAAGCCAGTTTAGACTATCCAAAAATCTGCCAAGTTCTGCAAAATTATGCTTCAACACAATAAAGTGCTAAATACTAAAATGAAAATAGACATGAGACAGCTGAATAGTACCCTTTAGCCATTTTAAGGTGTATAGCAGCCGGTTCTGTGTAAACAAAAATTGAGATGTCAATGAAGTAGTCACAGGATGTGGTTATGAACTTGTGTATTTTAACATATTGGTTACTCAATACCGTGTCAAATAATTCCATAATGTTGTAAATTGTTGTTGATGTTATGTTGTAGCTTTTCATTGATTGGGATATATTCTGCCAGCTGTGCCTTCAGACCAGAGATGGTCTCCCCAAGAAACTGTTGAATGTATCTGGAAAAAAAGAACCTGGACTCTGCTTGGTATATGCTTGCAATGAAAGAATATTGACTGAATTTGAACTGTAATACTGCAACAAGGTGGAGCAATCCACCGTGGAGGAGGGCACGGGAAGGAGTTGGGGGAACCCCAGAGCCTATGAAACTGTGTAACATAATGTAATGTAATTAATGAAAATTAATAAAGAAATCTGCACATAAATATTTTAACAGTGCCGTCTCAAACAAGTTTGAAACATTCAAAATTCAGACTTATTGCTTAAGGAATAAGTTAGTCTGAATATGCGGATCTGATTCTAATCTATCCTTTGTCACTAACCAGTTAGGTTACAAATCCTGTTCTTTATCTGAGGAAAGCTAAAGAATGGCCAAGGCAGGTGTCTTACCCTTGGCACTGCTGCTCTTCGGGACCAGTTGATGCATTGAGTATGATTATATCTTGTCCCTTATAGGATATACAGACGTATCACTCTCATTCCCTTCCACATGTCACCAGACTATTATTCACTCACACAGAGTGACAACCAAAAATGTCTCAACACATTGCTTAATTTCCCCTTCAGCCAGGGACTCAAGTCTCCCTTGATTGAGATTCCCTAAAGTATAGGATTTCTCAGGGAAGACACTTAGAAGTCTTGGTGAGAGAAGTAGACCATCACCTGCATTTTAAAAAGCATAGCATGTCATCAAGCAAGAAACACAGCATTATTGGAATTGGAGATTATCAGCCATGTCTTGGAATAAATGTAGATATTTGTGGGATAATTCAGCGTGTGACAGCCTTTGAGCAAATGTTACTTCCATTTCTTCTGTTTTAAAGTCAATGAAGAAACATGCATCTTGCTGTATTATTAACTGAAATATCAACAGCAGATATTGAGCCTGTAGAAAGTATAGGATTAGCATCCTTTTGGTGGAAAGGTTGTAGATTTTGACATTGCCATTTGCAGATATGTGAGAGTATTTATCATCTCTCGTGCTCATTCTCATTAGTTGATTAATGCAGATAGTAGTTCTTGGAAAAATGTTGAAGTCTAAGATGCAATACTTCAAAAGAAGCAAGTTTGGAGGTGGGATCATCCTGGAAATTTCAATAAATCTTAATTCTTAGCTTCTTTCTGTTTCCACTAGCTCTTGTGCACTCCATTTAACTGCTCAAGAATAGTCACATTTTAGCTAACAGGGACATGAGACTGGTTTGGTCCACTTGAGGACTGCTACTGTTGGGCTAAGGAAATGTCATAAGCAAGGCAGAACCTTCTTCTAAACTGTTCATGCTATCGAAGCAGTCATCACAAGTTCAGTCTCTTTCCTCAGTTGCATTGATTTTTTTTTTTTTATGTTTAGAGAAAGCAGGAACTCTCACCATGGCAGGGAAGCCCATCCTCCACTATTCCAATGACCGGGGCAATATGGAATCGATCCGGTGGCTCTTGGCTGCAGCTGGAGTGGAGGTAGGTTCTAGTGAACTTGTCTTCAAAATGGATCTTAACTTCTGTTGCCAACATTGCTCAGATAAGCTAGGGAGACATGCTACAGTTATGAGCAGGAGACATTAACAGAAGAGAAAGATGCATGTGGGATTTATGGGGAACTCTTGGTATTACTTCACAGTTTTGTCAACTTTAAATGATTCTGAAATAAATAGTTGAAAAGAAAGAAATGACCAGTTCTGAAGAAAGAGATGAACAGATTTCACCTAATTCATGTTTATCCTTTCTTCTCATCAGAATTTGAAATGGCCAGTTATAATGTGTGGAGCATAGCTGGATTTGGAGAAATTGTAAAACCAACTTAAGGCATTTATATAAGCAGTAACACAAGTGTTGACTTAATATGGATAACATTAAAAGTACTAATGTCTTAGATATGATTATTTGTTGTGGATATTTGAAATATGTCTTTTGCTTTAGGGAAACCCTTAAATCATTATAGAAAGAAATAGGTGACATCTGGGATACTGTTCAAATCACTGCAAGGAGGGGAAAGTGGGTGAACAAAGAAATAAAAGGATGTTGGAATAATTATTAAGGTGAGGGGTTCAAGGAGCAGTTTACAATTTCTTATTGATCTAGTACATGTGATACATTTACATAATTAGAGGATTTAATTATAATATTGAGAAATGAAAGCACTTAAAGTTCAGCCTGAGAAGCAGGAAGGGGTGGATAGCTTCAAACTGCCTGGCAACAGTGGCTTACCTTCATTCAGCAATGATTTCTGCTGAGCACCTAGGAAATGCCAAGTTTTGGGATACACAGTGAACAAGACAGACATGATCCCTGCTCTTAAGTGTTATAAATGGGTGAGTTGAAAGAAGTGCAGGAGCTTTTGAGAGAGCACTTCAGAGTGTTAAAGAGTGTTAGCAGGCCTTTCTTCCCAGCATGTGCCCCCAGCAGGGGTCTATGTGATTCTTCTGAGTGCTGCCCTCTAGAGATGGCACTGAGAAAAAACCTGTCCCTGCACACCAAAGGGACACAGCTGCTGGAGTTGTTCCTGGGCAGCCAATCATGGATGAAATAGATTTCTGTCAAAATCCTAAGGAAAACTTAGATTGTTGAGTTTGTCCTACACCACTATGCATGGTACTTTACTAATTGTAGTACAGGCCTTAGTAATTTAATCCTCATGGAGATCTTTAGCATCAGCATGATAACTAGACTCATTTTAGAAATTGGGATATTGACACACAAAGAGATTTAGTAATGTGTCCATGGTTAGGCGATATGAAACTTGTGCAACCATCTCAGATATCAAAATGGTTCCATTTAACTCTGTGTGGGAACTTGTCCAAACAGCACTCACAAAGGTTAACTTTGCTGAAACTTGAGTGGGTGACTCCATCATTGAATTCAAAATCTGTATATCCTGCTATGCTCCATATTTGCCAAAGGAGTTCTGATTGCAAGACTTCCCGCTGGGCAACCACATAGATCCATTTCACTCATGGCTGAGCTCCTGGAGAGTGGGATGATGTAAATTGTAGGAGAAGGCCCCTGGCAGCAGAATGGTAGCTGGCTACTGCTTTGGCATATCCCCTGCTGGGGACTTGGTAGGCTCTGTTCTCATCTCAGGGAAAGGCACTGGCTCTCTTGAGCTACTACAACTCTGGGTTATGGTCGTAGCACACTTCTGCTGCATCACTCTGCTGTTCCTGAGCTACTGATACAACTCTGTATCTAGAAAAACGTCACAGCCCTTTCCTCCATGGACACCTCATAGATCTAGGGTCACCCACAAATTACCTTGGGGTCAGGGTGCAGGTGAAATGCAGGTTCAAGAATCACCAGGTGTCAGATTGAGAAAGCTTGCCCTCTTAATGTTAAATAACAAGAATCATCAGGTTTAAAAGCCTGTAATTCATAGAATGAACTAATTAATGTTTGTATACTGTTTCTACTTCCAGTTTGAAGAGGAATACATAGAAACTCGAGAAGATCTGGAAAAGTTAATGAATGGTGAGTTCAAGCATCTAAATGCTTCTAAACACAGTGTCCAGACAACAAACATTGCCAATGTATGGGTGGCATCTGGTAATGAGAGAAAGGTTAGGATTAGGTAAAGCATACGTGTACTATCCATGAGCAGAGCAGAAAATTTTGTAAAAGCTACACAGGACTAAACGTTTCTAAAGTAATTTCTGGAACAACGCTGTACATTGGGAATGCTCTGTTCTTGTTTTCTGTATTTGACACCACGCTGCCCTCCAATCCCATTATGTACAGGGACATGCATGAGAGGAAATGAGAGGAGATATCTTCAGCAGTTATCTTTACTTCCTTTCCATTTTCTGTTGAGCCCAGCAAAAAGTGTGGGCTGCTTAATGAGATAGCACTGAGGTAGTTGGAAGTGCAGGTAAGTGTGTGAGGAGGTAGAGAGAGAACAATGATCAGCTGCCATGGGGTCAAGGACACAGTCCCACCTTGCACACAGTGTCCACAGGTGTAGGTTGAAAAACACACCGAGGGCATGACAGAGTTGGCGTTGATGTCACAAACATCACACAATTTGAGAAAGGTGTTCTTCTAAATGATGCTCAGCTGGTGGCCGTACTGAACCCTCTGCCAATTTCCACCTAAATTATCCATGAAGATAAGTGAAAAATCCCCAGAACTAGAATGTACTCAGTGGAAATGAAAGAATCAATAAAGGGCTAAAAAAGCAGAAGGGAAAATTGAGAATGATATCTCAATTAAAATACTATTTGTTGAAAACTTTAAGAAATTTAAGTTTTATTAGTTTCAACATGCTTTCTTCTTCATCAAAGAGTGTACCTATAGACATTTTGCTCTGTTTTCTTCCTTGCAAAGATGGAGTGCTGATGTTCCAGCAAGTGCCCCTGGTTGAGATTGATGGGATGAAGCTGGTGCAGACCCGAGCCATTCTCAACTACATTGCCAACAAGCACAACCTCTATGGGAAAGACATAAAGGAGAGAGCCCTGTACGGTATAATTTGTGTTCATACATCAGCAGATAGTACAGGGATGATGAGGTCCTTCTTGGAGTGACCAGGGCCAATTCAGAGGGAGCAGAAGCAGCAGCAGTGGGGATGTGAACATGCACTGGGGTCCAGTGCAGCAGAGTCTCAGGGAAGCACAGGAAGGGAACATTTGGGATGGATTTAGGTGAATGTGATCATGGCAAAGGATGCGGTTTGTGGACACAGTCCAGCAGCAGCAGTTCCCAAAGCCTGATGACAAATGAAGTCAGAGGATGGAGGAATCATGGTTCTAGGAGTTCAAGCTTTCATGGCGTGCATTCCACGCCATGGCTTGCAACAAGACAGAAAATGTCAAGCTCAAGGCCTGGAAAGGTGGGATCCCAACAGCTGATTTCTCAGGTTCCAGAAATGATAAGGATGCTTATTTGAACTGATCAGTTTGGAAAAGGGTCGTTACTGACTCAATACTACCAATAGTGGCAGGTCCCCTCCTTGTCTTGATGGTACTGCATGATTGAACATAAAATATCATCCAGAGCTCTGGGCAGCTATTGGAAAGGTAAAGTGTAAAGTAACCAATCGCCCAGTGATTCTGCTGCTAGCTATGTATCCGAGTGAAACAAAAATGTATCGTCATAATTAGTTGCCATGAAATAAACTGAATGTCAATCAGCAGATGAATAAACCAAGTGTGCTATAGTCATAAAATAGAATAGGATTTGGCAATGAAAAGGGATGCTACACTGATGCAAGCTACAACATGAGAAGCCTTGTAAAGATTGTGTTCCATAAAAGAAGATGGACAACAAAGGATGCATATTGCATGATTTCTTTTGTATGAAATGTTTATAATATGCAAATCCGCAGAGAAAGAAATTAGGTTTGTGATGTTCTGGGGACAGAGGAAAGGATGATGGGCCAGTGGTTGCCAAAGAATGCAGGGTTCTCTTCTTAAAAAAAAAATGGTAGTGAAAGTGTTTTGGAATTATATACTTTGGGAATCTGTGAATGTGTGAAATATTGGGTATAGTACTTTAGAGGAATTACAACTGTGGTATGTGGTCATTTAACAATCTCATGTTAAAATATGTTATAGAAAAATCAGTGTGAAGAAAAGAAACAAGGCTTGCTGTCACACGCATTGGCTTTTATGGAATTGCACTATGTAATGGGGCGTTTTAAGTGGAAATGTAAGACATGTAGACCGACTAGAGGTGGGCAGCAGCCTGTCAAACGGCTTCTGGGAAGTAGTTTGGAGAACTTATCACATTGGGCACCACAAATGAACCTGTGAATTATGGTGGATAGAAGATGAGGAGGAACAGGTGTGAAACAGCCATACCAGCGATGTCTCTGCGATGATGCAGGCAGCAGAGCTCCAGTCACATGCACAATGCTGGTGATTGTGCACAGGACACAATATGAGAAAGATCCAATTCTATTGGTAGCATCAGTGGCCACAGGCAGGGATCGTGTGGCCTTCTCTCAATACAATGACCCTGAACAATGCTTGTTTTAACTGTATTTGGTCACGAGTCTAAGAAAAATATGAGATATATTGCTACCCTGTAGGCTGTTTAAGGACATACATGTTAACAGTTCATAGCATGCTGGCTTCCAAACAATGCCTCCACAGGATGTCTTTACTACATAGTTTGTTACGGTTTTCAACTAGGAAATCATAAAAGACTGGAGGCAACTGACTGCTTGTTTTGTCTCTTAGGATTGACATGTATGATGAAGGCATAGCAGACCTGAACCAACTGATTATTCGTTACCCATACTCTGATCCAGGAGTAAAAGAAGCAACAATTGCTCAGATCAAAGATAAAGCAAGAAATCGTTACTTTCCTGCCTTTGAAAAGGTAAATGGAAGTTCTTGGTCTTTTGGGGCACTCAGAGTTGAAAGGCTACATCTGTGCTGAGAGGATGCCTTAGGAGCTTGGGTTCCAGAAGGAAAATAACAAACTGGCGGGCTTTGACATTTACTTCTCACTGTTGGGAAGCATGAACACACAATGCACAAGACTTAGGCAGCACATGAAAGGGTCATTTCAAAGTTACACTTCAAATTTGGCTAACTTTGAGCTTTGTTGTCTTTTTGTGGTCAGGTTAGGGGAACTCTGGTATCTCTTTTATAATAATATTAATAGTATCTGTATATTTTCTTCCCAAGAACTTAATCGCGTCTTGAGATTCTCACTTAGGAGGAGAATACCAGTGAGTGTTTGGATGTCAACATTCAAAATCTCAGAATACACAATCTTGTGCTACACCAGATGGTCTGAACTCCCTGGGGCATTGACAGCTACTTCCAAAGGAACTTCCCTTAATAGTCCTTTAGCACCTTAACATTTCGGCCATTGGGTCTAATAGAATATAAGAAAAATTGTACCATGTATAACAGAGGTGATATTTTAAAGAAGATTTAAATTTATTGGTATCCAATCTAGAATTCTCTCTTTGGCAAGAGTTCACAGTCCTAAATACATTTGGACCTTACAAGCATACTAAGAGGTTTACAGAATATGCAGACACCACTGAAGGAGAGGAAGGTAAGTGGCCCATCAGTAGAATGTTGTAATGATTCAGGGATGGATGAGACTTTCTTTTTTTTTTTTTTTTTAAAGATTTATTTATTTCTATAAGAAAAGCAGATTTATAGAGAGAATGGAGACAGAGAGAGAGAAAGAGGTGGAGAGAGGGAGAGAGAGTTAAATTTTTCATTTACTTGTTCGCTTCCCAAGTGGCCACAATGGTTCAAGCTGGGTTGGTCCAAAGCCAGGAGCCAGGAGTCTCTTCTGGGCTCCCCACATGCATGCAGGGGCACAAGGCTTTGAGCTATCCTCTGTTGTTTTCCCAGAGTAGTAGTAGAGAGCTGGATTGGAAGTGGAGCAGCCAGAATGTGTGCAAGTTCTCAAACAGGATGCTGGCACCACCAGTGGAGGCTTAGCCTGGTATGCTATGATGTCAGCCCTGGATGACAGAGATGTTTGCATAAGGATGGAAAGGAAAAGATAGTTAAGAGAAGCCTACCAAAAATTATGGATAAAATATGAGAATACGGCACTCATATGTTAGGGGAAAGCAGTGGAGACCAAAAAAAAAAAAAACCTATTCCATAATATGTAGCACTAATTCAACATTTTTCCTTGATATCAAAAAGGAGAACATTTCAAGAACTAAACTACTTGCAAATATGCTAAGTGAAATGCGCAGGTCCCAAAATAATATTAAAAGCTATTAGAAAGATGTAGACTGTTAAAAATAATCCAAAGACTAAAAGGCAACACCCATTTTGTAAATCCTTGAATCATTGTTTTATTCATCACATAAGGACTAACATTGTTTACTTTACCTATGCAAGGAATGAAGAATTGAAAGGAATCCAGTCTTTAAGTGCTCTGTCCTGACCCCACCTGTGCTGACGGCTTAGGACATATTGGGCTGATAACAAGCTCTCTAGTCCTTGGTGCAAGCACATAAGCACTGATGTCAGAGTCCTGTGAGCATCAATGAGCAAAGTATATTATAACATAGGGTTTGACACTGCACTTGCACTTCTCCTAGTGATGTGGTTTGTATAGTCTAAAAGGGCATTTCCAGAAATGTTCAATGGGGTTTTTCTTTAGGGGGATGCACAATGTATACTTCTTCTCTTTCTTCTCCACGATTACTAAATTGTTGAAATATTTTCATGTGCATCTCATGTTACCCTAAAACTTTTTGGAAAATTTTAATGTTATAAAATGTGAAAGCAATTCAGAGAACACAAGGATACCCACTACCTAGATGGGAAAAGTAACATTTTTCCTTTCAGCTATTTCTCTATCAAAAAATGTGTTATTTTTGTGCATTTTGAAGTATGTTGCAGACCTGACTCAGGGTAGTTCCTGAACTGTAATTTAGGAGACAAAGATGACTTCAAGTTCATCCATATGTGTCCCACATCCCTGAAATGGAGTGAAGGTAGCAGATAAGAGGGGATCTGTAGTTAGAAATTGTCTCCTCACAGGAAAGAGAACTGTGATTGGGGGAAGGGACATCCCAGGGTGGATTGGAGAGAGTGTAGGGTAGAGATGGGTTTTGAAATGTCAGGGCTGCAGCCATCAGAGCATGGAGAGATGGGAAAACGGGGCAGCAGGGGCTAAGTCCTTGGCATAGGGGGAAGGTGCAAGTGAAGGTGTGTGGTGTGCACACCTCAGTGAAATGGGAGTGAGAATGAAAGGATGTCCTGGGCTTTCACTGAGGAGTGAGCAGTGCCCACTCGTCTTCCTCATGAGCCAGGGCCCTGGAGAAAGGTCTGGTTCCCCATGTGTGTACGGGGGAACAGCAGAAGTGGGACTATGGGGCTGGAGAAGCTCAGGGAGGAGCAGAGTTGAGCCCCACTAGCCTGTGACCAGGATTTCATTTTGGTGATTGACCAGGTGTTGAAGAGCCATGGACAAGACTACCTGGTTGGCAACCAGCTGAGCAAGGCTGACGTTCGCCTGGTTGAGCTTCTGTATCATGTGGAGGAGGTGGACCCCACCATCATCACCAGCTTCCCTCTGCTGCAGGTGACCTGCCTCACTGGCCTTGGAGGGCAGGGCCCGTGTTTCTCATATAACATCTAGTCTCTGGAATTGTGATGTTCTGAACCCTATTCTTAATCTTTGTACATATAAACATTTGTTCAAGCAGATACACACTCACATATACACATACACTTGAACATGAGCTTCTAGACTCTGGCTCTGAGTCATGAAAAGGACCTTGCTTTGCAAGTAAATGTAGATGTATATTTTTCCAAGATGCATATTTGTTATTTTGCATTTTAAGAAAGCGTCCCATGGCCCAGCATGTCTTTCCCCAATACGTTTTCCAGTGTGGTATCCTGTCCTGATTCCTCTGTAATTCCCTTCATTCCAGATGCGTATTTGTCCATCTAAGCAGGTGCCTTCCTTATGATTTGCCTCCCTCAGCACTGACTCCAACAATCAGATGTTGTATTCCTCTCTCTCTCCTACTTTCTCTTCCCACAATCTCTGCCTCAGTGCTCAGTGTTGAAATCAGTGTAAGTGGCTTCAGGCTAACTTAGTATTTTCTGTCTTCCATTCCAACAGTTTTCACTTACCTTCATTTTCTCCTTTGTAGAAATTTCTGTGTTTGAATATATGATACACACATCTTCCTCATTGTATTGCTTAAGAACTATGAATGTGCAATTTTAAAAAAGCATGAGGAAGACAGTGTTGACATAAATTGAATTACTCCTTAAACATGGCATGTGGCATGAGAGAATGTTCTTGAACTGTAGGTTTCTCCCCTCATTGCATGCTCACTGGGGTTCATTTCCCAGCCTCCATGCTGGTGCTGATGGAGGGGACTCAGTGTTTTTGTGGAGGAGGGCTAGGTCTTCCTGGGCTGTGCTATTGATGGCCTGGGTGCTTTTTGTTCCTCCCTGAGGCTGTGATCTGTGCCTTGCAGGCTTTCAAGACCAGAATCAGCAGCCTCCCCACTGTGAAGAAGTTCTTGCAGCCTGGCAGCCAGAGGAAGCCACCTGTGGATGAGGAATGTGTGAAAAAAGTATTCCGGATTTTCCATTAAATAAAGGGCACATGAAGCAGTTGTAAATCACTTTTCTGAAGTTTCTCAGCATGAAGCAATTTCCCTAAATGTTAATCCTAGCCATTTTGCAACCAATAAACCTTTTTTCTTTTTCCAAATTATTTAATGAAACCAGGAAAATACTCTGAGCATACTGAGTAAGATGTGTCTGTGTGAGCTGGTGGTATGGGTCCTAGCTGGTGTGCTCCAGTGTTCCATCACAATGGATAATGACACTGTGCTCAAGTCCATGTCCTCCTGAAGGATGTAGGGGTACAGGCTTGGGTTTTGAATACTCACCACAACCCCAAACTCTACATAACAGCATAGTCCTTCACCCATTCCTTCACAGGGTATTGAATCACGTACCTGGGTGCTTGTATGGCCCTTGTCTAGAGGAAGATGCAAATAATCAGATTGCCATGAAACAAACACCCACAAGACAACAGAGAAATTGGCATGGCTGAATGTTACATGACCTTAAGGAGTTAAAAACATCAGTGTGTTTGGAGGATTGCATGATTATGTTAATAGAGTTCTTACTATTTAAATGATGTGTTATTTTCATTCTTTAAGACAAAGTGCTAATCTATTGCTCATTTGCTTGAGTGTAATTCCATGATTGAAGAAGAACTGGGAGTGCATATGAGTTTCCTGGGGTTTCTATCACAAATTGCTACGAGCGGTAGAGTGATAGCAGAACTGTTATCTGTGAGGGCTAGAAAGCCAAGGGGAAAGACTAAGAAGGCCCTCACTGATGTGGTGCTCCAGCAGAGGGTCCTTTCCTTCCTCTGCCTGCTTCTGGGGGACACCGCATTTTGGGTTTCTATATTGCTAGGTCCCTTCTCCACCTATAAGTTCACCTTTATAGGAGCCAGGGATTTGGACATGGACTTTTGCTTTAGGGGGACTCACCACAGCTCAATGTAATTTGGATGATGAAAGGTTGCTGGCAATTGTTGAGTCACAATCATGAATACATAATGGTTTGTTAGACTCTTTTCTCTACTTTAGTATTTGTTGGTAATCTCCCGTGTGAACCTAACTTATCTATTGGGCTGTAACCATGGTCAGATTTCATTCTTATTCTTGGGGACTGGATGAAGGCTCTGTCCCCAGGATCAGAGGGATACTGACATGAACCAGACAGTTTCAAAATAAAGTGAGGAAAGCATAGTAAAGACAGTAGTGGCAGAAGCATATTGTTCCAATCACAACCAAGAGCAAATGTAAAAGTACCCGGGCTCGGGAAGGTACTTTGAGTGAGGTAGAGAAGGAAGATTAGGCCAGTAGGCTTGCTAGCTTTCACAGGTGAAATAGCACTTACTGATAAAGAATAAGATTTTAAAAATATTTTATTCACTTATTTGAAAGAATTACAGGGAAAGAGGTGAGACTTGCTATGCTTTATCCACTGTTTTACTCCCCATGTGGCTGCAATGGCCAGGGTAGGGATAAGCTGAAGACAGGATGCAGGAGCTTGATCTGGGTCTCCTGTATGTGCACAGGGGCCCAAGCATGTGGACCATCACATGCTCTTCTCCCAGGCCATTACCAGGAAGCTGGATCAGAAGTGGAGCATCTGGGATCCAAACTGGGGCTTGTATGGGATGCTGGCATTGCAGGTGGCAACACTCCCTACTATGCCACAGTGCTGGCCACACAATAATTTCCTACTTCTAGCATGTTCCATACAATGTTTCATCTGCAGTTCCCCTTACCAGGGTATCTTACATTGCGTTATCACTCCAATAAAGTTTTCTAGAGAGCCAGCAGCTTGCTGTTGTCAGGCTCAACTCATGTGTGGGTACTTCACCTGCCTCCATCCTCTTTGGGCTTATGAATACTTGCCTAAGTTTCCTTCTAAATCAGTCCCCACTGAGAGTAAAATCTAGCTAATATTTGCTTTCTTAAAGTTTTTCGTGTTGACCTTGAAATGTAACATGTAGACAAGTTTTTCTGGTTATCATTTTCTTTGCAATCTAATGTGGACAGCCGTGTTCCTTGAAAGCCATGGGAGTGGCATTTCCGTAGTTGGACTCTACCCCTTTTGTTGGGCAGAAGTTATTTATTAACACAGAACTGCTAAACAGGTCAGGGCCTTCTACTGATTCTTGGGGTCAAGAAGGAGATAGCAAGGTAAGTGCTGATCTTGCAAATCTTTCTACATTACCTCACACTCTTTGATGTAGATCACTAGGAAAATACTTCAAATTGTGTCTAAAATGACAGAGTTTGTTTTAGATCAGTTGAGACTATGTCCAGAGCAAGAGGAAAGAATCCATAATTCTGGAGTTGCTTTCTCTATAAGAATAGTCAAGGTATAATCGCTTCATGTTGCGAACCCATAATGCTCCGGAGTTTGTGCACATTAAAATCAAGATTGATTCTTTATTTTCAAATATCTGTTCTTTTTTGTGGGAAAGGCAGATTTACAGAGAGATGGAGAGACAGAGAGAAAGACCTGCCATCTGCTGATTCACTCCCTAAGTGGCTGTAATGGCTGGAGCTGAGCTGTTCCAAATCCAGGAGTCTGGAGTTTCTTCCAGGTTTCCCCCAAGGATAGAGAGTCCCAAGGCTTTGGGCCATCTTCTATGGCTTTCCCAGGACACAGGCATGGAGCAGAATGTAGTGTGAAGCAACTGGGATGTGAAGCAGTGAGCAAATGGGATCCTGGCACTTGCAAGGTGAGGATTTCAGCCACGAAACAATTGTTCTGAACCCAAGATTTATTCTAACAGAGCTAAAATAATCTGAATGTCAGAACTAGATCTTAACTCCATTTTTGCCACTAATTTGTTAGATGACAGGTCCTGTTCTCTCTCTGAGGATGAATCCAGTCATGGGTAACCTAGAGAATGGTTAAGGCATGTCTCTCATCCTCAGCACTGCTTCCTTTCAGGGAAGAGTGACACTTTGCAGTGAGTGGGTTTCTGTCCGTTGCAGGAAGTCAACAAGCTTCCTAGCTTTTATCCAGTGGAAGCTTTGGTACCACCCATCCTCATTCCCAAGTTTTTAACAAGCAAAAGTATCCCAAGACATTGCTTAATGTCCTGTGAGGTGAATGAGCAGACTCTTCTCTCATTGAGAAGCAGTGTATTCCAGGGCAACACCAGCCTACAAGTCAGAAATCCTGTTGGAAAAACTGGGTAGCTACTGGTGCGTGAAACTAATTTTTAAAAGACTCTATAGAAAGGACAAATATCATATGTTCTCTCTGATATAAGGCAACCTGCATGCAAAAAAAAAAAATAGAAAAGAAAAACCACAAGTATACACATCTGTTTATCTAGAGGAATTGTGTAAGGGAGACTAGCATACCAAGAAGTCAAGATACATTGTAATGTGCATCTCTTCCAGAATAACAGATGTATTCCCACTGAAACTGTTAAATATATCTTGACAATAGGATGCTGGACAATTTCTCATTGTCTATACCTACAGTGTCATGGAAACACAGGTTTTTAGGGAGAAGCAATGAGAATATGAGAGTTTCTGTCAGTGGAATGTAGAGTCACCAAGTCTTTCTTCTCATTTTCTGTTGACTCAGCAAGGCTTTGTGGTAACTTTTGTCCAAGTGTTGGGCCTGGCCTTGAGGGCAGTTTAGCAGGTGACAAAGGAGTTCATCAACAGTCATGGAAAGAGAAGGAAAGGGAGAAGGCCAGCTGGAAAGTAGCAACTGTTGTGACATAGATTATAATGTGGGAGATAAGTAGATGTATTGCCCTACCCATAATCTTTATAGCGGCTTTTCTTTGTAATCAGTAGTGATTGAGGTATTGCTGGAGATTTGTAACAGTGACTTCTTTATTGCCAGGTGCCCAGGTAACCACCACACACAAACCTTGCAGTTGGAAGGAGGAGAAAGTTATTATCAGGAAGGGTTATATGATAAAGATTATTGAAGGTCAGACTTCATGTCCACCATAGCATGATACTTGGGCAGTCGGTAACAGAGCTGAATGAGAGTATTGGAATCACTTGGCTTGGGGAACTAGAGTCCCGCATACTTAGACACAGTCTGCACAGCTGTGAGCCTCACAATCCCTTTTGTTCTACTGTTTGTCTACTTGGATTTCTTTGCCAAGAAGTACAGTGTACAGAATCTGCAGTTACACAACAGGTGATTGCATATGCTTCTAAGAGAACAGTTATTGTCTAAAAACTAGACTATGACATTTCACATTTTTATAAAAGATATATTTACTTATTTGAAAGGCACAGTTACCCACGTGCATGTGCGCATGTACAAATGCACACACATACACACCCCCCCCACACTCACATGCAGATTGGCCTTTTGTCTAATTGTTGATTCCACAGTGAACAGTCCTGCATTTGGTAGGCCTGGGTAAGTCAGAACCCTGGATGGCAGGGGTCCACATACTAGGACTGTCTTCAACTGCCTTTCCAGGATGTTAGCAAGGAGCTGGGCCAGACCCAAAGCAGGGCTCATGTGGGATCCTTGTGATTGTAGGCAGTTGTTCAGTTCACCATGCCACAACTCTGGCCCAAGCCCTTCCTGCGTTAGTGTTTGAATGTTGAAAGGTTTTGATGTCTAAATTTGAGGTTGGTTACATGTACTTTTTCAGAACCATACCCATTGAGTAAAAGAAGTCTATATCTGTTCCAGCCTCATCGACAACAAATCTTCTTGGGAATAATCTTGATGTTTTATGGCAGTGTCGGTTTCAGGCAGAGGATGGTCCTTTCTAAGTCCTGGCACTGGGATTCCTGTTTTTCACTGAGCCCTGAGAGTTTCTTACCACACACCAGGACAGAACTGAGAGGTCCTTTTTTGGAGCCACTCTGCTGCATTCTCTGATTCTCAGCTG